CGGACTTGATGATCTGCTCAGGTCCCTTCCGACCCTAGAAACTATGAAACTAGGAGTACAGTGCCACTCATCCTGTCCTCATGCAACTCTGTGACATTATACTAAACCTTTGATGTATGTAGGTCTTGTAAAGCTTGATGTATACTTCAGGCAAACTCTCCTGGGATGTATCCTTGTCTGTTTCCCCATTAGTAGTTATCCTTGAAGTGGGGTCAAGACCCCACAAATGCCTGTAGTTGAGTCCTTTTTGCCTTCAACTGTCAGGAACTATATTGATTGATACCTTACTATTAGGGTGAGGAACACTCATGGATGGTCTACATGCATAAGGTCTCTGGTCCCAGGGGAAATGCAGATGCAAATGGCAGGGTAATTTTTAAGGCCTGGGAATCCTTTCTGTAGTACATTTCCAAGAGATTCGTAGATAATGATAGGGACCACAGGACTGGCTATATGTAACATTAACAGATAGCACAGGGTGAGATCTCACCTTCCCTCCACTCCAGTGCCAGGAACTGATCAAACTCTGTAACTGGTCCATCAGACATCACTTATTCTTTTCAGTGGCTGTCAGAAAACCTTCACAGACAAATTAAGTAGACACTTCTGTTTAAAACACTAGTGGGAATTCAACAATTCCATCATTCAGGGCATCATCTTAAGGTTAACCAAGGGCTGACCTGTTCATAACCCAAACAAAAAGCGGTGCGTCAAGTCTTTCATTTCATCAGACACTCTGGCCCAGAATCCCTGCATGATGCCTTTTCAATTTGTGGATAGGTGAGTTCATATATGACTATCCTCAGATTCCCAAAGTTTTTCATATAACCAAATAGGAACTAAGATAAGCCAATATTTACCTCTTTTCCTTATGGTCTCAATTTCTTGTATTCCCATCTATAAAGATTGGATTTCAAACTAATCCTTTCATGTCTCATCAGCACACGACACTAGTGTTCATGCTCTCTGTTGTATTTGTTACTGAAAATGCCCTAGGTAGCTATTGTGTGGGGGGTGTTCCTGCATTGAACCACCCACCTCACTGTGCCCAACCACCTTCCAGGCTCCGAGTGCCTCCCTGGGGGCACCTCACGTCCAGCCAATGCCCTTCCTGGAGCACACCCTCAAGCCTGGGGGCAACGCCATTACCACCCAGAGTCTGGACTGATCTGGGACCTGCGCCCTATGGGAAACAGGCCTAGTAGTCCTTGAGGGTACTTGACTCACTGCAAGAACTTGGGGTGTTTCCCTTAGCCTGAAGCACAAATAGTGGTTTTCCTTAGTCAGCTGACCCAAGGGGACTCCAAGGCATAATCTAGGTCCTCTCCCAATAAGTCTCCCACACTAGGTACAAAGGAGAACATTATTGGTTACAAGTAGGTTTGGAATAGGGTACAGGGTAGAGCAATATCAGAGAAATACCTTGGAGCAAAGAGTGGCATGGTACTGCCCCATCTGTGTTACTGCAAGCTATATATCTAGTTAGATCTCAAGTAGCTTACTCACGAGTATCATGCAGAAGCAGGTGGAGATTCCTTCTGGAGGTAAGCAGTTCATTGATCATGAGTTGAGAGAGAGATGGTTCAGCTTCTCCCTGAGTTTTCATCATGGCTATTGCCCCTCCTTCTGGGCAGTCCTTCACTTATATAACACTTGTGACCTCATTTACCTGATCTGAAGGCCAGCAACTATTGGCTGGCAGCCAACAATTTGAAATGCATCACTGGTTGCTGGGTAGACCTGCAGGGTCTTTAGCCCTTTCCCGGTCATGTTGGCAGATCAATAGAACAATAGGGAGTTTATTAAGCCCCCCACCCTGGTATGTGATGCCAGTCATGTAGGCAGAGGGAGCAGGTTTCCCCCCTCCCTCAGGAATGTATCCAACTCAGGTTACAACTCAGGGTTACCTGAAGCAGATGAGACCAGAGGAATCTGCCCTCTGCAGTGCCCATGGTAACCAAATTGTCAGATAGAGGAGTTTGGGGAGAGACCAATGGTATGCTGCCACAGCTATTCCCTAAGCAACAATGGTGAGGAAGAAGTCTTAGAGGTGGAATTCCCCTACATACTTTTACCTAGTTGTAAATATTGTCTTTCCTTTGTCCCATGTGCTTCTTTTAATCCCCCAGGGACTGTCTATCAGGTTCTTTTCACATGATGGGTGTGGATGGGTTTTACCTTCTTTGATAGTTAGGGGTGTTATTACACATGCTTCGGGAGTGGGCGGGGGGGCTCTTTAATTAAAGCATCTCTCAGAGCTCTAATTAAAGTGCCTGGAGCGTTTCATGTATCAGCGTCCCCATGCTTCGAAATGGCAGCAAGGGTGCTTTATCTAAAGCCTGTTTGAGCTTTAGATAAAGTGCTCCTGCCACCATTTTGAAGTGCGGGAACACTGATGATACATGATCCATGGAGGCTGGCTGGAGTGCAGTAATTACTGTTCTCCAGGAGACTCAATTAATCGAGTAATTATAGCACGTTAGAGCAGCCTCCAAGCTTGTGTATAGAGCCTAGGTTCTTAAAAGCTATCTTCCCACATTTGAGAATTTTGGGCCAAGAGAGATCAGTAGTGCTGGAATTATGAGCATTATGACCAGGCATGTTTTTCTTCCTTGATCTTTACAGGGGCTTAGGATTTTTTTTCTTGCAATACAATGTGGGCAGCAGCTTTCATGCTGCAGTTCAACCAGTTCAGCCTTCAAAAATGAAGTTTACTCTGAGATACTGAAATTTTAGTACAGGGTGTACTCAAATCTATGGTCCATAGGCCAGATCTGGCCTGTGGAGCCATGTCAGAAATTCTGACCTCTAGAACTACAGCAATTAATGCTGCCATTATACCCCTGCTGCCAAATTTTATATGATGTCATGGTCCTATGTGGCTGTGCTTGGGATTACTTGGCGGCCAGATGTGGCATGTGGGGTTGGGCTGATGCATGATGTTGCTGTGTGGTCAGATTTGGCACACCAGATTACATTCTTGGACCAACCCCATGTGCAAGATCTGAACTATGACCTGGGCCAGCACCAGTGGAGAGGGGAGCAGGAAGGAGCTGCCAACAGAAGAAGGCCTTTTTTTGGACAGAGGAAACTTAGCTGTTGGGAAAATATGCTATTAAACTGAAAGGAATGGGTTCATCTTATGCTGTTGTTCATGGTAGGTAGAGTCAGCCATGTTGTGCAAAGCTCAGGAAGATGGGTCAGAAATAGGTGGTTCTATGCCTAAGTTCCAATGGCAATCTAAAATTAACTCCACAAAGGCATCTGACAGTGTCAGAATAGAACAGCACAGAAGTTCTTGAAATCTACTATTAATTTAAAAGTTTTAATTGTGCAGTTTTTGCCCTAACTCAATAGTTGCTACTTCTTTTCTCTGTAGGTTAAAGATTTTTCTGTTGACACACTGATTCAACAACATGATAATTTAAACTTGGCTTTGGACAGCTGTTACAGTGGAGACAATGTGGTCATTTTCCCAGGAAAATATAAGGCTGTGAACCTTTCAATGTTAACTGAAGATATTATAATTAAAGGTCAGTAAGTGCTTTTAGCTGTTCTTTACTTTTTTCTTTACTAGTACTTCAGATTAACAATAAAAAGCAAATTGGGGGTGGGAAGAGGGATTATTTGCTGTGTATTTTAATTGGATTAGCAACATTTAATTTAAAAATATTTCATAGAATATAAAGTTTCACTAGTCAGTCCATGGTGTAAAATGCTGTGCAATTGAACACAGCACAACAGGAATGTAGTGAAATATTCATTCAGGAAAAAATCTATTGCTAGGAAACCAGCGATGTAGTAATCTTACTGCTAAAAAGTTGCTTCCCCAATTAATAAATGGAAACAGTGAATTAAATAAAGTAAAACCTTTATTTTGTATGCATTTTTGACAGCTTAGCAAGTAGGTTTTTTTCTTCATTTCGTTCAACCTCAAGAAGAAATTTATAATGAACAAAATCATTAAACAACCCTAATGTATGTGATCCTCTTCAATGAAGTTTTCTGATAATATTTCTTCAAAATGGCCAATACCAACAGTATTGTTAGAAAAAATATATATATTTCTAATTTGTAATGGGTTGGAAATCCACTTTTCACTCATGCATCTGTGACCACAAATGCAAAACTGCAGCCAAAAATTGTTTAAATTTAGATGTCTGCTTGATTTTGTGGGTGCAGTCATTTATTTTCCATTGTGAACCTGTATCTGATTTGTAGATGCAAGATGTGAAGGTATTCTAAGTCCTTCCTCATTGAAAACGACACATTTTTTAATTCAGTGCATTTAACATGTTATTTTTCAAATTGCTCTCCATGTTGTCTTTCTGCACTAGAATGGCTTATTAAAATGACAGTATTGCACCCAGAAGTACATTCTTGCTATGATAAGCTTCTATATCAGAAGACTTTTCTAAGACTTCATTTCACATGGATTTTCATGAATATATCACTTATAAGTAGGTGATCAATAAGAGTTATATGCCGTTATATGACAAGAGTATCTGTGAGCTCGAAACACTTCAGTTCCACTTGTTCTACACTTAAACAGTGGGCAATCCAGGGTCTTATATTTCCTCACATACAACACACACCTTTCTCTCAAATAACAATGGCTTTAAAATTCATAGACTTAAGGGGTGGAAGAGACCTCAGAAGATCATCAAGTCTAGCCCCCTGCCCCAGGGGCAGGCAGTCAGCAGGGATCATAGGATCCCTGCAAGATAAACATCCAAATGTCTTTTGAAGGTGTTCAGAGTAAGTACTTGGAATCTACCACTGGCAGCAGTCTATTCCAAGCCTTGGGGGCTCGGACAGCAAAGAAGTTTTTCCTTATGTCCACCCTGAAATGGTTATGGAAGAGTTTGTGACCGTTTGACTTGGTCATCCCTTGGGGCGCAGTGGTGAACAGACGTTCCCCCAGATCCTGGTGAGCACCCCTGATAAACTTATAGGTGGCCACCAGATCACCCTGAGCCTGCACTTTTCCAGGCTGAAGAGTCCCATAGCTCTCAGCCTCTCATCATAAGGTCCGTTTTCCTGACCTCCTCATGCATGTGGCTCTCCTCTGGACTCTTAAGCTTCTCCACATCCTTTTTGAATCGTGGAGCCCCAAACTGGACGCAGTAGTCCAGCTGTGGCCTCACCAGGGCGAAGTACAACAGGAGAGTGATGTCCTGGGATTTGCTCGAGAAGCATCTATGCATGCAAGCCAGCGTTTTGCTTGCTTTACTAGCAGCAGCATCGCATTGCAGGCTCTTGTTCATCTTGTGGTCAATCATGACCTCCCAAGTGTCTTTCTTCCGTAGTGCTAGCCAGCGTAGCACTGCTGAGCCTATAACCATGCTGCAGGTTTTTCTTCCCAAGGTGGAGAACCTTGCATTTTTTGGTGTTAAACACCATCAGGTTCTCGTCTGCCCATTTTCTGAGCCTGTCAAGGTCAGCCTGGATCACCCTTCTGTCCTCAGGTGTGGATGCTTTACCCCAGAGTTTGGTGTTGTTGGCGAACTTGGCCAGTCTGCTTCTGATACTAGTGTCTACATCATTAATGAAGATGTTGAATAGTATAGGCCCAAGGACAGAGCCTTGAGGGATCCCGCTGGTCACAGTGCACCACGATAATTGACTTGCACCAACCACCACTCTGGGTACTACCACAGACCCAACTCCCCAGCCAGCAGATTGTGGTTAGGCCAAGGCCAGTTAGCCAGTTTTGCTAAGAGGGGATCACGGGATACCAGATTGAAGGCTTTTTTGAAGTCGAAGGCTTTTTTGAAGTCAAGATATTGGACATCAATCTCTTCTCCCTTGTCCAGGTTATAGGTCACCTGGTTGTAAAAGGAAATAAGATTGGTCAAGCAAGACCTTCCTACAACAGACCCATGCTGGCTATCCCTCAGGATGTTGCCATTGGCCAGTCTGTTAAGAATGGCTTCTTTGATAATCTTTTCTAAGATCTTCCCCAAGATAGATGTCAGGCTGATGGGCCTATAGTTTGCCAGATCCACTTTTTTCCCTTTCTTGAATATACGCACCATGTTGGCCTTCTTCCAGTCTTTGGGCACTTTACCAGAGCACCAGGAGTTCTCGAAGATCTATGCCAGGGGCTGAGCTATGATGCTAGCCAGATCCTTGGGTACCCTGGGGTGTAAACTGTCAGGGCCGGCTAACTTGAAGGTATTCAGCTTCTCAAGGTGTTCCTTCACGAGGTGAGCATTGATGGAGGGTAAGGAATCTCTCTCACCCGGGCCTCCCTGTCCCGTAATGGGCAGAGGCGTCCCATGGGACTGATGAAAGACCGACGCAAAGTACCCATTTAGCAAGTTGGCTTTTTCCTGGGCGTTGGTTGTCAGTTGTCCAGTGTTGCCCTTGCTTTTCCTCCAGCTCCCCACATATCTAAAAAAGGACTTTTTATTGTCCTTGATATTTGTAGCTAGTTGGAGTTCCGTTGCAGCCTTGGCTTTCCTGGTTTGCTCCCTGCAGGTCCAGACCAGTGCAGAGTATTCCTCCTTGGAGGTGGATCCAGTCCTCCATCCTTTGTAGGTCTTTCTTTTTAGACGCAGGAGGTCTGCTAGTTCCCTGGAGAGCCAAGGGGAGTTTGTGCCCTTTTGTTGCCTTTCCTCCGAGACGGAATAGACTTTGCTTATGCATCCAGGATTGCTCCTTCGAGGGCAACCACTAGTCCTGAACTCCCCTCCCCTTTGGGTTGTGGCCCTTTAGGGCCTCACTGACAAGCCTCCTGAGCTTGTCAAAGTCAGCTTTTCTGAAGTCGAGGACTTCTGTATTGCTGACTGACTTGCCTGCTTTATGGCAGATGGTGAAGGTGATCAGCTTGTGGTCACTGTCACCCAGCTTCCCTTTGATTATTAGATCACTGATTAGGTCATCCCCCGCTGCCAGAACCAGGTCGAGCAGTGCTTTATTTCTCATCAGCCTGTAGACTTCTTGCGTCAGATAGAGCTCATCCACGCATGAGAGAAAGCTTTGTGACCGCTCAGATTTGGAGTGGGCATTATATGGAAGAAATATGGTAAGAGTAGGTTCTGTCACTTATGGAGTGAAATCAAAAGTAAAAAGAGATCCACAGGGAGCAGAATGATGAGCAGACTTGGCTTCCTAGCAAGAGCTACTCAGTTACTACAAGATCTTGTTTTCTTCATTCTGCCTTTCAAAAGCAAAGTGCATATCATATTCTGGGGTGTGTTGTATGCAAGAAAATACAGTAATTCCCACTTAGCCTTACAGAATATTATCTAAACTTGTTTCCCTTAAGCCTAGTTAGGGCTTTCTTCATTAGAGTTTATTCACATTGGATTAGAAACAGATGAAATGTCAACAGATGTCCCTCTTGTGGTCAGCTGAGCCTGTATATATTGCTTCATGTCATACCTATGAAGAGTTATCTATCAGTGGTGCTGGATTGGAAACCTTCATGCCCATCCTCTGTCTTACTTTAGATGAGTAAAAGTAAAGTCTTCAGATCAGAATTAGTGATTCAGGTGTAACTTGCATAGGGAGGTATTTCAGATTACAGGCAGTCCTCAACTTACAACGTTTCACACTTACAACGTTTATAAATTGACACCCCGTTTCAACTTTACAATGCCAGTTTCGACTTACAACACTTGATCCGATGCAATGGCATGCCAGCAAACAAGTTCACTGCGTCACTCATCTCCCTGGAGAACATCTGTCCAAGCTTCCTTGGACATTTTCTTTAAGAAAGCAGACAAGACTCCAGAAAAACCTGCAGCCAAGACTCCTGAGAAGACTCCAGCCAAGAGCCCTTCAAAAAATCCAGCAAAGTCACCTCAAATAAGTCCTTCCTAATCAATATGATTGCTATTTACCATATAAATATATTAATGTAGCTATATTACTCATTTTTTATTGATTGGGTACAAAATTCTGGAATATTTTTGGTGAAAATAGGGTATTGGGCCTTGGTTCAGGAACCAATCCCCCATTTATAACATTGTTTCTTATGAGAAAATTGGTTCCAAGTTACAATGTTTTGACTTAAGACAGTTTTCAGGAACCGATTGTGTTCTAAGTCCGAGGACTGCCTGTATTTGATTTGAATGACAGCATCAATTTTCCCCTTAATATTCATGATTCATAACATTTTCTTGAGTTGCAGGGGAATATGTAAGATCAGCAGTCTGAAAAGGGTCATTGCAGCCCCAAGATAGCAGAAATGCTAGAGAAAAGACATAAAAGCCACTGTTAGTTCTCAAGGGGAATACTGAGATAGCTTTGGTCATAAGAGAGATGGAAAAATCTATTCATCCTTTTCTTTTCCACTTATAAGATTTCTAAATATTGTTAAATTTCTGGTTACGATTCCGAAAGAGAGAGCTTCAGCCACATGAGAAAAAAGGCAGTTAAAAATGCCAAAAAAGGTGGCTCTTCTTGCCTGCTCTTCTTCCCTCTTATCTTCAGTGGTAGGGCCCCAAATGTGATGCATCACCCAAGGATATAGAGCCAGCTTGCCCTGTCCTTCTTTCCCTTCTAAAAATATTTTGATTGTTATTTTGTAGCAAGGATTTTAGTTTCAACAGGTATAAGCTTTACATAAAAAAAAAATGCTGCCATTTTGCCTCTTTTTTGATGTTCATGTAGTCCTGTATCTAGACAGCTGGCTAACATGGCCAGTGTAAACCAGGAATGAGTCATTCAATATATACATATTGTTTGGCAAAGTCTACTCTTGTACCTATTTAAAGAATCTCTTCTATAAAGAGGCTGCTTAAACCAAAGTATTTCTTCCAGAAAAGGAATTTGGTAACATTTTCCAATCTATCATTAGAGAGGATCCTTTTAAGGTCGAGGAGAAATTGCCTGATGCTTTTCTCATATGTCCTCTTTTTTTCCTATTAAGCCATTACTTATCATATTGGTTTGAAATAAAATTCACTCCAAATGCGGATCATTTAGGAGGTCTGATGAATATTGTTTTGCATAGCCTTTGTAGGTTGGTTGCTGGAATTGCCAGGAATGTATTAAAAAGGAGTTTGTATCAGTTCTTTAGATACTACCAAAGGAGCCATCTTCAAGACATGATCCTGTTATGGGTTGTAGTGCATCTTGGGAAATAAGTTCTATTTGTTTTTTCTAGAACAAATCAATAAGATGGGCCCAGAAATCACCTCTGCTATTAATTCAAGAGTCATGCTGAAGTGCTGACAGACAACACAGCAACTGCAGAGTACATAACCAAAAGATATCTCAACTTAAGGTTCTCAGAATTTGTCTCCATAGATGCTCGTTGTTTCACTCTAATTTCAGAGCTTTAGTATTTTGAGCATTATGTTTATGGAACTGAGTTTGAGAAAGCGTAGTGACGTTTAGTTGATTCAACTGGTATGTTACAAGTCTGTTACACGACTGTCATTAATAGTTCCTGATGAATAATACCAGCTGGTAACAGACACCCAGGAGAAAACCGAACGCCTGAATACCCACTTTGCTTCAGTTTGCCACTGGACCAAGGGGAAAAACGTGCAAAATAAGGCTCACACGGGGCATGGTGGAAAAGACAGCCTTCCCACTGATGCTGAGCTGGTGCATAACCAATTAGAAAAGCTAGACATAAGACAGCAGGACCAGATGAACTTCATCCAAGAGTGCTGAAGGAGCTGGCTGAGGTTATTGCGAGACCCCTGGCAAATCTTTTTAAAAAATTGTGGCACTCGGGAGATCCCTGAGGATTGGAAGAGGGCCAGCATTGTGCCCATCTTCAAGAAGGGGAAGAGGGAGGACCCGGGCAGCTATAGGCCAATCAGCCTAACTTTTATCCCAGGGAAAATCCTAGAAAGCTCATCGAGGAGTCTATGAGCGACTTACTTGTAGATGGTAGGATTTGGAGCGACAGCCGGCATGGCTTTGTTGCGGCAGGTCCTGTCTTACTAATCTCATCTTCTTCTGTGACCAGGTATCTTGCCACCTGGACATGGGTGAGGAGGTTGACATTATATACCTGGACTTCTAAAAGGCCTTTGATCTAGTATCCTATTATATCCTCTTGGGAAAATTGGAAGATTGTGGGCTTAACTGCTTGATGGTTCAGTGGGTGGGAAACTGGCTGCGAGGTAGAACTGAGAGAGTTCTTATGAATGGATCTGTGTCATCCTGGCGAGAAGTGGCCAGTGGTGTCCCTCAAATATTTGTGCTTGGTCCGGTGGTTTTCAACATCTTTATCAATGATTTGGATATGGAGGTGAAGGATTCACTGGCCAAGTCTGTGGACGACACCAAGTTATGGGAGAGTGTGGTCACGCCTGCAGATAGGCTGCAGATACAGACAGACCTGGACAGACTGGAGAAGTGGGCAAATCAGAACCAGATGAGTTCAACACTGAGAAGTGTAAAGTGCTCCATCTGGGGGCAAATAATCCCCAACATACCGACAGGCTCAGTGGTGACAATTTAACTTGCACCACGGCCGAAAAGGACGTGGGGTAATAGTTGACCATTACGTGAACATGAGCCGTCAGTGTGATGCAGTAGCCAGCAGGGCAAACAATACTCTCGCATGCATTAACCAATACATCTCATGTAAAACCAAGAAAGTGATTCTTCCACTGTACTCAGCACTAGTGAGACCACAGCTGGAATACTGCACCCAGTTCTGGGCACCGCACTTCAACAAGGGTGTGGAAAAACTTGAGAGGGTCCAGAGAAGAGCCATCCACATGATCAGAGACTTGCAAGGCAGACCATATGAGGAGAGGTTGAGGGACCTGGGTCTCTTCAGCCTAAAGAAGAGAAGGCTGAGAGGGGACTTCGTAACAGCTTACCATTCCATCAGGGGAGTATATCAAGAGCTCGGTGAATGACTGTTCACCAGGGCACCCATGGGGAAGATATGGGGTAATGGATACAAACTGCTGGAAGACCGCTTCAGGCTCAATTCTAGGAAAAACTCCTTCACAGTCATGGTACCTAGATTGTGAAACAAAAACTCCCTCCAGAGATGGTGCAATCACCTACCCTGGACATCTTCAAGAGGAGACTGGACAGTTATCTCATTGGGGTCACCTGACCCGCAGTTGTTTTTCGTGCCTAGTACAGGGGGACTCGACCCGATGATCTTGCGCGTTCCCTTCCAGCCCCTGACAATCTATGAAACTGAATGTAGCATGAAACCATGTACATCTGGTGTAGGGTCAAATTTGGAGAACTAAAGTTACAGGTAAACTTTGTAGTTTTACTGCTTTTTCATTGTTTGAGTGATAAATATTTATTATAATGAAAGTGTGGTAACTTTTTAAGTAATATTCTAAGTAAGGTAGTGTTTCAGCGTCATACTAATGTTAACTCTGATTTTCTCCTTTTAATTAGGAGTTGGAAGACCAGAAGAAATTGTGGTTTTTTCAGAACCTACTCATGAAAGCTTTGTGGTATCAAAAGGCCAAAATGTGAAACTAATGCACCTTACTTTGGTACAGCAAGGGACAATTGATGGTATTGTAGTTGTTGAATCTGGTCACATGACTTTAGTAAACTGTATATTGAAATGTGAAGGAACTGGAGTCTGCGTACTTACTGGGGCTTCATTGACTATTACAGACAGTGAGATCACTGGAGCTCAGGTACTTCTATTTGAATATCACATACTCAGTTTTAAAGTATATGAAAATTATTATACAGTAAATTGACTGAAAGTTTTACTTTAAAAAGCTAACTTCTGAGTAGCAACACCTTAAGCTCAGATTCTCTTGAAAACTTGCTTGTCATTTAAAATTAATTTCTGTTTTTCTGTAGCAGATTTGTTTGGATTGGTTATTATGATTGAGTTCCATATTCAGCTATGGAATTAGAGTAAAATCTACTTAATTCATCACTCCAGGAGGATTGGCAAGGATGACTAATTATTCACAAGTGACTAATTGTCAGTAATCAACCATTTTCATTTTGCGAGATTTTCCATGCTATATCAAGACAGTAAAGAAGCATTTTTGACTGACTCACTATACGATTATACAGATACATGGTATTTACTGTAGTAAGAAACTGTGCACTAATTCAGGGTACTCAGAATTACATTATGAGGGAGTAAAATAATGAGTCAAAGATTTTTGCTTTGCACTCTCACATGCACTCATTGCCTTAATAGAAGATAAGTCTGTGGGACAGAATGGTTAATTGTCTGTGTCTTGTTGAGACAAAAAAAAGCTGAAGAGTATCCATTTCTTTGTGAGCATCAGCTGGCTTGACAGGTGGTAGGAAGGGCATAGGACATTACTTACAGCTGACTAATGATTAGGAACAAATTTCACTATAACGTATTGTGTGCTCGTTTGGAAGTGACTGTTAACAGATGATGAATGAGGAAGTGCTTTATGTACAAATCAGTAGGACTTTTGTAGGGATTCACTACACTGATAAGGACTAAAGTGATGAGTTATCCTGGTACCTAATTAACCAGATATCATCATGTAAATGGTGGCAGAGATCATTACTTTGCTAGTTATCTTGTCTTGTTATAACGTATTAAAAACCAGACTGAATACTGTTAAGCCACAGTTTTTAGACTTGGCACTTCAACTTGTTAAAACTGGTATAGACTAAAATATTTTCCCAGAGTTGTAATTTTAAAGTAATTATGCTAAGTGACCAACAGTAAAAATTCCACTACCCACCTGTGAAAAGGTATTACTGTTGGAAAGACTGGAGACATGGTGCCCGACACTGTCTTGTGAAGGCCAACAAAACCTGGGTGCAACAAGGTCTCAGCTTCTAACCAAGTTTTCCCTTTCCTTCTCCCTTCTTAAAGGGTAACAAGGGCTTGATTGGGCTGCCAAATACATAACAAGCAAAAAGTTCTGAGGCCCTTGCAAATCACATCTTGAAGATAATAAATCAAGTAACACATCTTCTACGAAAATAGGAAAAGGTTTTAAAAAAGGTTTAACAGTAAATGAATAACTAGTTGGTACACATACCAAAGTAGTAAAATAGAGTAAACTTGCAAGGTAATCTGTATGGCAGTTGGTTTTCTTAAATATTCACAAAATAATAGAAAATGAGGGTTGGAAGGGACCTCAGGAGACCATCTAGTTCAGTGGTCTCCGAAGTGGGGTGTGCGCAAGACGATCCACTGGGGTACGGGAAGAAAATATTAGAACTTCTATTTATATTTACATAAATATACATACATTGGGGGTGCATGCTCAAAAATTTTTTTACTGATAGGGGTGCGCAATCAAAAAAACTTGAAGACGACTGATCTAGTCCAACCCCCTTCTCAAAGCAGGACCTTCCTCAAGTAGATCATCCCAGCCAGGGCTTTGTCAAGGCCTTAACCTCCAAGGATGGAGATTTCACCACCTCTCTCAGTAACCTGTTCCAGGGCTTCATCACCTTCCTAGTGAGAATTTTTTCCAATATCCAACTTAAACCTCCCTTGCTGTAACTTGAGACCACTGTTCCTTGTTCTCATCTGCCACCACTGAGAATAGTCCAGCTCCATCCCTTTAGGTAGTAAAGGCAGTTGTCAAATCCCCCTCAGTCTTCTCTTCTGAAAACAACTTAGTCCCAGTTCCCTCACCCTCTCCTCAGAAGTCAGCCCCTGAACCATTTTGTTGCCCTCCACTGGATTCTCTCCAACTTGTCCGCATCTTTTCTATAGCGGAGGGCCCAAAACTGGACACAGTACTCCAGATGTGGCCTCACCAGTGTAGAATAGAGCAGAATAATTACTTCTCTTGATCTGCTGGCAACACTTCTACTAACTCAGTCCAGTATACTGTTAGCCTTCTTAGTAATAAGGGCATACTGTTGCTCCTATTCGTGTTATCGTCTACTGTAACCCCCAGCTCCTTTTCTGCAGAGCAGCTACTTAGCAAGTCAGTCCCCAGGTTGTAGCAGTGCATGGGACTCTTCTGTCCTAAGTGCAGGACTTTGCACCTGTCCTTGTTGAACCTATGAGATTTCTTTTGACCCAATCCTCCAATTTGTTTAAGTCACTCTGAATCCCAGCCCTACCCTTCAGTGTATTTACTACACTGCCCAGCTTAGTGTCATTGGAGATCATTGATGAAGATAATGAACAAAATGGGTCCCAGGACCCAACCCGTAGGACACTCAACTTGATACTGGCTGCCATCTAAACGTTGTCATTGATTACTACCCTTTGAGCCCAACAATGCAGCCAGCTTTCTCTCTACCTTACAGTCCATTCATCCAACTCATACTTCCTCAGCTTGCTTGCAATAATGCTGTGGGAGATGGTATCAAAAGCCTTGCTAAAGTGAAGGTATATTACATCTATTCCTTTTCCACATCCACAGAGCCAGTCATCTCCACATAGAAGGCAGTTAGGTTCATCAGGCATGACTTGCCCATGGTGAATCCATGCTGACTCTTCCTAATCACCATCTCCAAGTGCTTAGAAATGGATTATTTGAGGATCTGTTCCATGATTTTTCCAGGGACTGAGGTGAGGCTGACTGGCATGTAGTTTCCTGGAACCTCCTTCTTTCTTAAAGATGGGTATTATTTTTGCCCTTTTCCTATCATCCAGGACCTCCCCCGATTGCCACGAGTTTTCAAAGATAATGGCCAGTGGCTCTGCAATCGCATCAGCCAACTCCCTCAGAACCCCCAGATGTATTGCATCTATCCCCATGGACTTGTACACATCTAGCTTTTCTAAATAGTCCCTAACCTGTTCTTCCACCACCGAGCGCTGTTCACCTGCTCCCCAAACTCTGATGCCCAGTGCAGTAGTCTGAGAGCTGACCTTGCCTGTGAAGACTAAGGTAAAAAAGGCAATGAGTACTTCAGCCTTTTTCTCATCATCTGTCACTAGGTTGCCTCCCCCATTCAGTAAAGGACCCACATTTTCCCTGACCTTCCTCTTGTTGCTGACATACTTGTAGAAACCCTTCTTGTTACCCTTCACATCTTTTGCTAGCTGCAATTCCAGTTGCACTTCGGCCTTCCTGACTTCATCCCTGAATGCCTGAGCAATATTCTTATACTCCTCCCAAGTTATTTGTCCAAGCTCCTACTTCTTGTAAGCTTCTTTTTTGTGTTTAAGCTCACTGAAGAGTTCTCTGCTAAATCAAGCTGGTCGCTTGCCACATTTGCTATTCTTCCTGCACATCAGGCTGGTTTGTTCCTTCACCCTCAGTAAGGTTTCTTTAAAATACAACCAGTTCTTCTGGACTCCTGTCCCCTTCAGACTGGCCTCCCAGGGGATCCTGCCTATCAGTTCTCTGAGGGAGTTGAAGTCTGCTTTTCTGAAGTCAGGGTTCATGCTCAGCTGCTCTCCTTTCTTCCTTTTGTCAGGATCCTGAACTCAACCATCTGATAGTCACTGCTGCCCAACTTCCCATTCCCTTCTACATCTCCCACCAGTTCTTCCCTGTTTGTTAGCAGTAGATCAAGAAGAGCATGGTTCCTAGTTGGTTTCTCCAACACTTGCACCAGGTGGTTGTCTCCAATGCTCTCCAAAAACTTCCTGGATTGCCTGTGCACTGCTGTATTGCCCTCCCAGCAGATGTCAGGGTGACTGAAGTTCCCCATAAGAACCAGGGCCTGTGATCTGGAAACTTCTGCTTGTCTGAAGAAAGTTTCATCTACTTCATCCTCCTGGTCTTGTGGTCTATAGCAGACACCCACCACAGCATCACCCTTGTTGCTCTCCCCTCTAACCTTAACCCAGTAACTTTCAACAGGCCTATCTCCATTTTCATACTGGAGCTCTGAGCAATCCTACAGCTCTTTTACTTACAGTGCAATTTCCCTTCTTCTTTTTTCCTGCCTGTCCTTCTTGAACAGTTTGTACCCATCCATGACAATGCTCCAGTCACGCAAGCTATCCCACCAAGTTTTTGTTCTTCCAATTGCATCATAGCTCCTTGACTGCACAAGGACTTCCAGTTCTTCCTGCTTGTTTCCCAGGCTCTGTGAATTCATGTACAGACACCAGGTGACTAGCCAATTACCCTACTTCATCAGGAAGAATGAGGCCTCCCCTGCTGCCTCTGCTTCCTCCAGGTCCTCTGCTTCTCCATTTACTCCAGGTCTCTATTCTGCATCTCCCGGCAAACCTAGTTTAAAGCCCTCCTCACTAGGTTAGCAAGCTGGTCTGCAAAGATGGACTTCCCTCTTTTCATCAGGTGGATCCCACCTCTTCCTAGCAAACCTTCTTGGAACAACATCCCATGGCTGAAGAAGCCAAGTCTCTGCTGGCAACACCACCTGCGCAGCCATGCATTGATCTGCAGGATGCATCTGCTTCTGCCAGGGCCCTTCCCCTTGACTGGAAGGATTGAGAACATGACCTGTGCCCCCATCCCCTCCACGCCTGCACCCGGAGCCCTGTAGTCACACTTGATCTGCTCAGGGTCACCGCTGGTAGTATCATTGGTGCCCACATGGATGAGCTCCATGGGGTAGTAGTCAGAAGGTTAGACAAGTCTCGGTAATCCTTCTGTGACATCTTGGATCCAGGCTCCAAGCAAGCAGCAGACCTGCTGAGCCAACAGGTCAGGCTGGCAGATGGATCCCTGTCCCCCACAGAAGGGAGTTTCCAACCACCATCACCCATCGCTACCTCTTTGTGGCAGTGGTCTCCATCCTCCCCTCCTTGGAGATTCCTGGCTTGGCCTGTTCCACCAATGGAATGTGTTCCTCCTCCTCTGTTGTTAACACTTGATATCTATTCTCCAAGCAAACCACTGCACATGGGGATGACAACTTCTTGCTGTCAGAAGATACAAGCTTCCAGTTTCCACCTTCTGGGAGTCCCTGCCCTCTTCCTCTTCTAGCACCACCTCTAGCAGTCCTTCCTTCACAGTCCTAGAGGTTTTTTCCTCCAGCATGGAATCGAGGAAGTCCTCATGGCACAGGAGCCTTGCTACCTCCTCCTCTAGGTCTGTTGCCTTCATTTACATGCAACTCATTTCTGTAGTTATTCAATGTATAATAAAGGGAGAAAATATAGTTCTTCTATAACACTTCACAATGTTGCTCCTGGGCCAGTCAGTTTAATCAGCTGGCTAACAGTAATTAAGAACTTCCTAGTTACATTTACTGTCATTTTTTTAAAGTCAGTCCTGCATGCAGCAAGCCAAAAGTGAAGTCCAACCACCCAGCTGACCCAGCTCAGCCAACCCCAATATTTACAAGGACCTGTGTGAGCTCCAGTTCCTCAGTGCAGTAAATTACAGTGTACCAATCTTGCTATCTTCTGTGAAGCTGTAGAACCACTTTATTAGAGACTTAACTGTACTCTGAACACTATTTTTTTTGCCAAGCCTTACTTGCAAGGTGAAATTCAACTTAATTTCTTCCTGTTTTAATGCACAGGGTGCTGGTGTTGAGCTGTACCCAGGTAGCACAGCCAATCTGGAGGGTAACAAAATTCACCACTGCAGTAACTTCAACAGCAGCGAGACATCACAGGGTACCCTAGGAGGAATTAATATCAAGGTAGTTTACTGTGCTATATTCTTTTCCTAGCAATTGTAACAAACATGTCTACAGGAACAGCTGTTGAAGCAGGCTTACAATATAGGAGTAAAATACAAGCATTAAAAACTATAAAGAAAAAAATGTCAAGCAGGTATTTATGACAGTATCTTTAAATGTCCTGAAGTTTAAGTTCTCTGTGAAACAGTTTTTCCACAGTATTCTCTTGTGGTAAGCAGTATCTTTGACAAATGTACTGTGTGCTTTATAGATATGTCATAAAAACTGCTGGGCTGTTTTTAAATGTCAGTCAAGACACATTCAGGACTTAAACTGACTTAAATTGTCAATTTTTTTAAAGCAGGATTGGCCATAGTGAATGGATTGCTAGTTAGTGATTGATTGTACAGTATAAGCAAGTATGAAAGTGTTTTTGCACGCAGAAATTGGGAAACTCAGAGATGTCAGATACAATGTAGGTAACCTGAAATTACAGTAGTGAAGGTACTGTTTGGGTTTACAATTTCCAGTTACTACTGACACTCAGATTTAAGTTAAAACATGCATACTAGATCTTTATTCAGAGGTCCCATTCAGCTTTGTATTAGCTGCTTGTTAACCAGCACAGTGACACAGGGGCCAGTGACAACACATTCATTTAATGGCCTGGTGCGATCTGATCCCCTATCCCAACAATCGTGCCTCCCATCATGCTACATGTGCAGGGCTCAGATCCCACTGGCACCATTACTACTTGCCAGCGCAGGGGGAGCCTGGGATTCCAGGCTGGTCCCAGATTGGGACTGATAATCCAGCTGACTGCACTGGAGCTGCTCAACCCTCTCATCTGGTTGTCAGTTCCAGACCCCGATACCATCCCAGAGCCAGGACCAGCTATCCCCAGTCCTGGGACTGGCTCAAGACTCTGGTGTGACCCCTGGGCCAAAATTGCAGTGGAGTCTTGAGCTGGTTCTGGTCACCCTGTCACACATTCCATTTAAGGCATGATGGAAACCAGCCACAACAATACTATATCTTTTGTGGACTATTTTTATGGCTGTTTTCCCATTTAATTGCATTATTAATTCCTTGATAATGTGGCAACATTACGATTTACAGTGCAACTAACAGGGCAGTCATGTCTTAATAAGACACGACTATTTTTAGGGAAGTCCTTACCTCCAGAGAAAATAAGTTTATTCTGCATGTAAATGCATACAGTGTGAAAGAAATTGTTGGCATTTTAAGAACATAGTGCATCCTTCAGCAAAACTAGCCCATTTTGAATCCTTTAATAGGTGGTTCCAATACCCAAGCTGAAGATGAAAAATAACCACGTTTATAGTAACAACGGCCATGGAGTGACCATCCTTCAGCCTACAGACCAGCTCAGTACTGTAGCAGAAGGGATCCTGGAGTTCACTGCCTCAGGTGATGCAGAGGAAGATACTGTTTCCAAACTAATCCAAGACCTGAGCTTGGAGATGAGCAATAACACATTAGATGACATTAACAGTATTAGTGTGGTTAACAGTTAAACATGCAGCTGACATGACATTTGGTACATAAAGTTCTGATTAAAGAAACAGTGCTTCTGATTTAGGTCAGTGAAACTCTCTTTAAATTTAAATGTGAAAAGTGACTGATGTTGCCTTTATGGATTAAGTTAGTGCATCCTGTGCTTAAAGCTGAACAAAGAACACAACAACCCAAAAACAAAACCCAACTCCCTCCTTTGATTTATAGCCCAATTTCATGGAAGTACTTACTAGGAAGAAGGAAAAGACAAACATTCATCCTTAGCTTTTCCTCAACTGCCAGTGCAAATGTTCCAGTAACAGTGAGGCCTTAATACAGAACTGTCTTGACCATGTACCTAGAGCTGCTGTTAGCACAGTTAGACAAACCCTGGCACATATCATTTCCACTGGTCCTCTTACTGATGTTACTACTGGTACAGCTGCAAATTTAAGGGGCTTGGCTTTCCCTATCACTGCATTAAAAAAAAAAAAATTTCCCCCTACAAGAAAGCCAGTTCATCTTTATTGCCTCCACTTCAAGTCCTCAAGTTTCAGTGGTGGTTAAGCAAGGGTTTCAGTCAGAAGCCTTCCCTCCTTTAACAATTATGACTTGTTAGTATTAGGCAATTTTTGCTGTTCTTGGAAGAAAACATATAAGCTTGGGATTTCTTAGCAGTATTCAGAGTACTAAACAGTACGGCAGGTTTTTCCCCCCCTCATAATTCATAAACACCCTAGAGCAGTGGTTCTCAACCTTTTTTGTACCAAGACCCATTTGTAAACATCAGTGGCCAGTCCCAACCCAGTACTCCTCACTCCTGACCCACTGCCTACAGGCCTGGCCCCCAGTGTGTGGGGAATGAAGGGGTATGCATGGGCCCTGAGGGCCCTCAAGAAGTCCCTTGCAGGTTGGAGCTCTGCCAGCCTGAAAGGGTAAAGCCAGTTTCCCATTTTTCTTTTTTTAAAAGAATCCTTTTTTTAAAAGTCTGTTGATCCATTGTTAAAGTTTGTTCATGGCCCTTCCATATATTCTTGTGCTCCACTTTTGGGTCATGACCCACAGATTGAGAAGTGCTGCCCTAGAGAACAGAAATTGCAAAACTTTTATTCTTTCAGTCATACCTGTTTTTGAGGTTACATAACCCCCCAATATAATATGCATCTTGTTTTTGAAAGACATTCTGAAGAAAAAGTTCTTTTCTCCAGAGTTATGGCTTCAGAGAGCAGGGAAGGAGCCTAATCTTCAGTTGACTCACCCTCCCTTTCCTGCTAAACTAAAACTCTTAACTGCTGCTGAGGGCTGGTCTCCATGGGTGGACCTCTCTGATCTTGAAGAGCTAAAGACCTGTGAAACAGAAGAGACCAGAAGCCCTAGCAGACAGCAAAGCTCCCCATGAAAAGGTTAGCTTCATTGTCAGACCCTGAAGATCATTAAAAAGGACAGCTGATCTTTAACAGCTGTGATGAACAGTGGGCAATTAACTCAATATTAATGGGCCACTGATTTCCAGCTGCCTGAAAAGTAATACCAGAGCTACTGCCTGGTGGAGCAGGGACCAAAGCAGTGTGCTTCTATCTCCAGGAAGGAATCAGCTAAATCGGGAATCAGCCCCGGCCCATGCTGTCACTGCCCCAAGATCTCAGCCGCCAGCCCCAGACACAACTAATCCAACCCGTGTGGCCCCATCCCATCCACCCTGCCAGTGTTCATGGATACTCTGAGATTGAGGGGAGGTGACAACATGGGGTTGAGGAAGAGCTGCAGTCTACCCATAGTGGCTCTGACCCAGCCCCTCCACCCCCACCCGAGTCTTCTTGGAGATGTGTCAGGAGCCAGACAGGCAGGGCACACAGGATGGGTAGCCAGGGAGCTGCATTTGAGGCTGTGAACTTTGGGCAGTAACACCACCAGGCAGAGGCCCGATCCGCTCCCCGCAAGCCCCTGCCACCGGAACCAGTGCCTGTTGCAGGGCTGTGGGGGGCAGATTGTGGCTCTGCCCCAGGCCACGGGCCTGCACTGTCACCACCCCAGGATTCCAGGGTCTTTCTGGCCCTGCCCACCCGTCTTGCTCCCAGACACGGCTCCCTGCCTGCCCGCAGCCCCATCACAGCTGCTTGACTGAACGCCTTGCCCGCATGAGTCTCGCTTCCAGCATTGGGTGCTAGGTGGACAGGTCAGAGTGCCTGGGCAGTGGGGCTGGTGGCAGCTGGAAGGAGCCACCACTGCCAGGGCTGCCAGGAAATGGAGTCCAGCTGCTGCACCACCCCAGCCCTGCTGTGGACCTGGGGGCAGTGGGACCAGCTGCATGTGTCACAGCCTGAGTTGCCCCCTGCACCTGGGCCAGGCAGGATGGAGGGACCTGCTGTGGGCTGGACGAAATCCCTGAGCAGGCCAGATCTGACCTGCAGGCCATATTTTGCCCACCCCTATGTTAGCATATTATCTGAGAGGCTTGGGAGTGGAAATTGGGAAGGATGGAGTCCTCGTAATTGGCCCTTAAGGCAATGACCGTGGACATCTGTGGTCATTATGAGTGAGAACCAGCTTAGGAAGCCCTGGGGCAGCCTCCCTTCTCTTTAAAAATAACATCAAGGCATGGCAGACAAGCAAAGGGGAGACTGCCCAAGGAGTCACAAGGTGGCAAGGGCTGAGCAGCTGCGAGGAGGCATAGTGACCACCCCAGGAAGAACACTTTGCTACATACCCACACTGAGCTTCAATTTGGGTCCCTCCTTGTATAGGAACAGATGTGTGCTCGGCGCTGTAAAGCTCTTCACTTCAGAAGGGATGGGCCAAAATGCTGCTATTCACCGGACTGGACTGGTGAGAGAATCCTCTCCTTTCGCTCAGGGTTTGAGCAGCGTCTTAGTTCAGAGGTTCCCAAACGCTTTCTTATTGCATACCCCCTTCCACATTTGCCAGCTGTCTGCATACCTCTACCAGTGTACATTTTATATTTTAACCCCTTAAATACCAATTATAACAAAAATTAAATCCACTATTACACAGTTTTACCCGTGTACCTCCCAGAGAAGTCTTGTGTACCCCCAAGGGTATGCATACCTGAGTTTGGGAACCCTTGCCTTAGTTGAAAGAAATGGTGTAGTTCACACTTAAGTTTTCCTGTTTCCAGTATCTGAAACTATCACTACACCAACCTTGAAGAGAACCCCCTCTCCCACGTTCCTGTATCTGCTCTAGAGAAATTTAACCTATGGGGCTTCTTTATTAGGCTTGGCGCAGTTTTTTGTAGAGCAATACAGAAGATACTAGCTGCCAGCCAATGGACAAGCTGACTGCTGTTTTGCCATGTGAGATGAACATCATTTGGCACTCAAAGCCATTGCAACAGGACTTATTTGTAAGTGCATTTCGCAGGAAAAAAAACTTCCCCACATTAGTATCTCTGAGCTCAAGTCTTGCGATTTCAAATCTCTGCTTTGACACTGAATTTTGTTTTGTCCATTCACTGTTATCTCTGCCTGAGTCAGCAACAGCTACCTGTAAGCCATAGGAGTCTGAAAAACTTGTTTCTGTCCCTCACAACCTTTTATCACTGGGAGAAAAGTTTCTTCCATCTTTCTCATGCTTGGAAGGAGTCAGAAACAAAACACATTTTCTTGAAAACTGAACACTTTATTAAGAAAAAAATAATACAAACTGTTGCAGACTGTAGTATGTGTTCAGGATGTAACACATCACTCACTACTAAACTTAAATTTGTTTCAAGCTACTGTGAACAATTAGACTGACTGGCAAACTTCTGTAGCAGCAGCAAAGGAACTGAGGAAGGAAACATGCACATTTTTTAGAGTACAAGAAAGACCTCAAGAGATTTCAAAAACCACCACCACCTCCCCTTCCTGGGCCTCCATACCCACCTCCAAAGCCACCTCTGTTGCCAGCTTGGTACCCTCTATATCCCCCGCCTGAGCCTCGATACCCTCCCCCAGTCCCTCTATATCCACCACCACCTCTGTAACCTCCCCCAGACCCTCCTTGGTACCCTCTTCGTCCTTGGTATGAGTTATAACCGCCACCATAGCCACGCTGGTAACCTCCCCGTCCTCTGTATCCACCTCCATTGTCATATCGAGCCATTTTAGGTGGGCGAGGACCATCTCCATATCTGGGAAAGAAATTCAATTTTATCTTTAAGCATTTATAAACACAGTGAGTTTTTAACAGTCAACATTTTCACCCCCCCCGCCCACAGTAACAACAATGTTCATCTGAAGATATGGACTCGTGCAGCACTTAGACCAGTTTAAATACACTTTAAACCCCAAAGTGGACAGTCAGACAAGTCCGTTAAACCAGTTTAAAGCTGCCTGCAACAGTTTAAAAATGTACTTGGAAAAGATCATATACTCTTGTGAAAAGGTACACTGACAAACAGGTATGTGTTATGTGTAAGCACTAAGCATCCCATGACATGAGCCTGGTCAGGCCTCCAGGCATCCCATACTGCATCATTCCTCAGCCTCCCAGCTAGCCATCCTGGTATGTGGCCAGAACTCTTCTTTCCCTTTTGGTGGCACCTTGGGGGACCCCTCCCCCCCAAAAAACAACAAAAAACAACTGCTTGTTCTGCCTGCGTTCAATAAAAGGCTATGGTTCTACAATCAGCTGTGTCCCTACTTGACTGCAGCCCCTCCTGTCCCCTTCAGCTCCTGGGATCCTAGAAAAGTGGATCCAAACACTCCTCTGCCTCTAGGCATCAAGCCAGGCAAGCACAGCAAAGAGTTCAGTCAGGCACAGGCAACTGAACTAATGTTCAGAAGAGAAGGGAAGGCAACAAAGTGAAAGTGGCCCTAGACACAGGTCACCCACCCTCCAAGACCTCCAAAGTGTGGATCCAAGCGCTCCCCGTTTCCTCCCCCAACCACCGTCACAGCAAGGCATTCTGGGCCTAGTACGCACTCCCACTGCCAAGTGTCAGATCCACAGTACTTCAGCACTTAAACAGTGACTCATACCTGGAATGCTTGGGTATTACACAAGTGGACACCTCTGACCCATGACAACTGTGAACTGGTTTCGCAACACTGACGCTTGGGAACACTTCAATTGTTACATGTGTCCACACGCGAAGACTCTCCCGGTCAGCCTCTTATACAAAAGATTTGTTGCATAAATGGGAATGAGTGGTCTCGTGGTTTAGCTGAAAAATGCCCTACTCTGGAGACCTATCCCAGCTT